TAAGTGACAAACCCAAAGCCCCTGGAACGCTTGGTGTTCGGGTCTCTCATTACCATGCAGTCTGTGAGTGTTCCCCATTGCTCAAGATGGCTCCTTAGACTCTCATCAGTTGTTTCAAAGCTCAGCCCTCCGATGAAGAGCTTCTGTAGCTGTTCGGGCTCCTTGGGAGACTCTGACTTAGACATGACGGCAGTCGGAAGAGAACCTGATGATGCTTCCTCCGCGGTGTCCACAAGCAGAAAGGAATCCCTTTATATCTCTTTGACTTTGCTTCATGAGATTTCTTTCTGTATTGCTCACTCAAGGAATCTGTCACTTTTCTAATTTCCTCTTCTTTTATCAGTGTCTTCTTTAGAAGCAGTTATTAATTCTTTTACTTCAGAGATTATTTCTGTTCTGATTTCCTGTATATGTTTGTGCATTTTATTCTTTACTTCAGATGCTATTAATTCAGAGATTTCTTTTTTATTTCAGAGATTAATCCTGATCTGAGTTCCTCTGTACTTTCTGCTGTTGTTTATTTTCTTCTGATACTAGTAATTCAGTGATTTCTTTTTTTATTTCAGAGATTGATTGTGATCTGAGTTCTTCTATACCTTTCTGCTATTGTTTCTTTATTTCAGATGCTATTAATTCATACATTTCAGCTGAGCTAGTGTCCTCTGCCCTTGTTCTGGTTTGGCTCAAAGCCTGAAATTGCATTTTGTTCCTTCTCTTTGTGATTTTGTATAGCACTGACCTTTGACATTTAGTGTAGGGCTTTGGTGCAGTTACAACCTTAGCACTTAAAGAAATTTGGGTGCAGATCTATTAAGTTTGAATTTATCCAGTTGTGCCTGGTTCGGGTCTAGCTGTTGTGCTCAGCCCCTTCCTGATGCAGCCCTTGGAAGTGAACCTGTTGTGCCCCTCTGTTGTGCCCCTGCCCCAGGGGGCACAGCGGAGTGCTGAAGCTCTTCCACACACTCGCTGCACCTGGGCTTGGGTTGGATCTGGGGGTTCCCGAATGCGTGACAGAAGTTCTCACTCACTTGGTAGACTTGCGGGGGCAGGAAGGCTTTGGAGAGGTCCTGAGGGCAGCAGAGGGTCTCACTTATGTGGCATGCCTGGGTTTTGGTCCAGAGAGTTCCTGCAGGTGCAGGGGAGCCGAAAACTCTCTCTCTCATACTCACTGGGCCTGGGCTTGGGCTGCATCTGTGGTATCCCCCCCAATGCCTGGCAGAAGTTTTCACTCACTCAGTGGGGTTGTGGGTGGGAGGCATCTCCAGAGGAGTCCTGAGTGTGTGGCAGAGGGTCTCACTCATGCGGTGTGCCTGGGTTTTGGTTTGAGAGTTCCTCTGGGTGGAAGGGAGCCGGAAGCTCTCCTATACACTCACAGGGCCTGGGCTTGGGCTCCAGCTTCATTCTCAAACAACCATTGCCTTGCTCTGACTGGTCAGGAAGAATGTACTGGATGGAGAGAAGCTACTCTCTGCTGACTTTGGACAGCACCTCCACCAAAGCCCAAAAGGCCAAGTCCATGTCAATGGCTGGATTACCTGACCACTGTAGTCCAGCAGGGGAGGACAGGGTCTTGGCCGTTACTTTCCCTTAGGTATACAGATCTTAGCCATCCTACCCCATACAGAGGTGGTACTATGTGATGTGCCAGTGGGTCACTGAAGATAAAATGCAGTTGCTATTTGCAGAATGAATAATTAACTCTTACACTGGTTCCAGAGTTTTCAGTTTCAAAACCCTGTGCTCCTCTGTGGAGTTTCTGTGCTTCTCAGACATATGGGCTGATAACTGTGCATTCCAAGACCCAGCACTGACAAAGTCAATCAAGTGAACTTGTAAAATTAAAAAAAAAAATGGCTTTCAGTGAACAGGTCACAACCATTTTGTGTGTACATTTATGTTTCCCTTATGTTAACCTCATGGAGACTCTGTTTTGGAAATTTGAAATAAAGGAAGGTCCCCTTTTCAAAACATGAACTGCAATCAACAGAAGAGACTTGGTTATGCTTTGATAACAGGTTATTTATTTATTTATTTATTTAGTGGTACTGAAGACCAAACTTGGGACCTGGCACTTGCGAGGCAGGCGCTTATGCTGCTGAGCTATCTCTCTGGCCCAATAACAGGTTATATAGAGAGGGAATCCTTTAATAATTCAGAAACATGTATCTTACAAAGACATTTTCTAAAACTTATGGTCATTATGGATAACAGGACAGCAATCCACTCTTCTGTCCATTTTATCACCACAGCACTGGGCAGAGGAGTTTGGAGGTGACAGAAGCCAGGCCAAGAGCCCTGAAGCCCATGTGTTACCCTTCTCTTTGGATCCCTCTTCTGCTCAAAATGTTAAGGTGCTTAAATCATTAGAATCACCTCAGAGACAGTCGGACTCAGTTGGCAGCAAGGGATGCTCTCGCACCAGCGGCCGGGGCTCCAACAGCCTCCGCCCGGCTTGTTCCACGATGTCCAAGGCCGAGGAGGCCAAGAAGCTGGCGGGCCATGTGGCGGTGAAGAACCACGTGAGGAATAACCAAGTTCTGGGAATCAGAAGGGGTTCTACAATTGTCCATGCTGTGCAGCAAATCGCGGAAAGAGTGAAGGAGGAGAATCTGAGCGTCGTCTGTATCCCTACCTCCTTCCAGGCCCGGCAGCTCATCCTGCAGTATGGCTTGCCCCTCAGCGACCTGGACCGACACCCAGAGATAGACCTTGCCATCGACAGTGCTGATGAAGTGGATGCTGACCTCAACCTTATCAAGGGTGGTGGGGGCTGCCTGACTCAGGAGAAGATTGTGGCCGGCTATGCCAGCCACTTCATCGTGATCGCTGACTTCAGGAAAAATTCAAAGAACCTTGGGGATCAGTGGCATAAGGGAATCCCTCTTGAGGTCATCTCGATGGCCTACGTCCCAGTGAGCCAAGCTGTGACCCGGAAGTTTGGGGGTGAAGTTGAGCTTCGGATGGCCATCAACAAGGCAGGTCCTGTGGTGACAGACAATGGGAATTTCATCCTGGACTGGAAGTTGGACCGGGTGCACAAATGGAATGAAGTGAACACAGCTATCAAGATGATCCAGGTGTGGTGGACACAGGCCTGTTCATCAACATGGCAGAGCAAGTCTACTTTGGGATGCAGGACAGCTCAGTGGATATATGGGAGAGGCCACGGCTGATCCTGCAGGGAGCGGAACGCTCGCTTTGAGTCTCCAGCCGCGTCATGGTGGACACAGTGCCTCCTGCAGCCTTCGCCTTAACGTGACTGTGCCAGGGTGGACAGCTGGCCGCAAGGAGGGGCAGTGGATTAGATCCAGTCTTCTGAAGTATTGTTATTATATGTCTTTTTAAAAAAAGAGATTTAAAAATATATATTTTTACTGTTAAACATACTTTTTTATATAAAGTAGAACTTGATTTCATGTTTTATATAAAATATTTACCAAAAAAATGGAGGGAAGGGGAGGGGTGGGACTGTCTTTGACACTTTTGACTTGAGCCTGTTGGTTAAGCTTCTTCTGAACATTGGGTTTGCTGAGAAATTAAAATCAAAACTTTGAAGTTGGTGAAATGAAGGGCCCAGCCAGCGTTGACCTCCCGATGCCTTACAGGAAACTCTGTTTACTTCTCTGCTGCTTTGTTTTGTTTTGTTTTTGTTTAGGTAGCTTTATGATCACGCACAATTCCTGCTTACATTTGAAGATCAAGTTTACAGAAGTCTGAGAAGAGCAGCAAGGGCTGTAGGGACTTGGAGCAGGGAGAAAACATAAGATTTTGTTCTGATCAAGGGGTTGTTCTGACCCTGTTGTTGAAGCAGTTGGCCAGAGTACTGGCTGGCCCTGCCGAGCTCTGCTGTAAAATGTGAAGTACTTGTGTTTTTAAAAATGATTTTCTTTGTGTTGATTTTTGTTGTTGTTCCTTTAGTGTTGCATGATTCAACGTCAGAAATTGTCACCTATTTATGTTGTTTGAAGGTTGAAATAAAACATTGTGGTGCAAAAAAAAAAAAAAAGAATCATCTCAGATAAAACAAGCAAGCCCATTTTTATCCTGAGCCTTTTCATCTGTGAACATGTGGAGGTAGAGTCTTAACAGTAATATTCGAAGATCTAACTTTATTATTTCCACTACTGGGAGGAAGGTAGCTCAATGTAAGCACTGTTTTCCTCCTGTACCCTGTTCATGTGAAAGGCTGTCTCAGCAATATGGAATCCAAGAGTTGGTCTTGTTTTGTTCTTGAATAAATTGTATCTAATCCATTTTCATTTTAGTTTTAGATGATTTTCTTTATCACTATATGCTTGCAGCACATAATGTTCACATGTGGAATGGCTGCATAACACATGTACAATTTTTAAAATTTCCTTTTCCTCTCCTATCTCTCTGTCTATCTCTTAAACCTTTCCTATTTGAGAAAGATCTTTCTCCCTACTTCCTATAATCTATGTTTTATTTTTTATTTATATTTTGTATTTCTCATATAAGAGAAACCATACCATATTTAAGCTCATGCATGTAACTTATTTAACATTTTGGTTTTAAAAGGCATCCATTGGGCTGGCCAGATAGTTCAGCATGCTAAAGTGCCTGCTTAGGCAGAGCACCGTGGCCAGGGTTCAATCCTTGGCATGTCATGCCAGCCCCACCCCCAGGGCACGCTGAGACAGCGATTGAGACTGGGCATGGTGGTGCGTGTCTGTAATCATTCCAGTGCTTGGGAGGCTGAAAACAGAAGATTCACTATGAGTCCGATCTACATAGTGAGACCCTGCAGACCCTGTAGACCCTGTCCTAAATACAGAAAAAAAAAATGCATCCGTTATACTACAAATGACTCAAGTTTAAAAAAAAAATTATGTACTTGGTACAGGGTCTCACTATGCAGCTCAGACTCATAGTGATCCTCCTGTTTCAGCCTCCCCACCGCTGGGATTACAGGCATGCACCACCATGCCCAGTTTCAGTGTCCTGCTCAGCATGCCCTGGGGGGGAGGGCTGGCACAGCATATGGCACTGGAGATCGAACCACGGTCCTTGCACTTGCCTAGGCAGGCACTTAGCTATCTCCATGGCCCCTCAAGTTTTTCTCCATGGCAAAGTGTGTGCACATAATACATTTTCTTTATCCATTCATCTATTTATGGACATATAGGCTGTTTCCAAGATTTAGCTATTACAAATTGTATAAACATGGGTATATGCATGTAATACTTTAACATCATGTCTGTTTTGGGAAGAAACCTGAACAGGGAATAGCTGGTTCAAATGGAATTTTTAGTTTTAGTTTTGTGAGAAATCTCCATACAGGTATCCATAGTACTAGTATATGTCTCTACCAATAATGTAGAGGGTTCCTTTTTCCTTGTATCCTTGATAGCCTTTGTTATGATTTGATATCTTGATGATGGCCATTCTTTCTAGGGTAAGATAGAATCTGTGTTTCAACTGGCATTTCTCTATGCCTGGTAATATTGAGCCTTGTTCACTTTTTTTTTTTTTTTCAGTTTGGAAGCAGATACTTTATTAACTGACCAAATCACAAAAACATCATGGTAGATACTTTAGTTCATCCTTCTAATAAGCCTGTTGATCTGGTCTTCCCTATTTCCAGCATCTCCACCTCCCACAAAATGAGTGGTCTTTTTCTTCATTCTACCTCATGGAGATGACAGGAAGTTGTTTGCTTCTTTGAAGAATTTTCCAACATTATAGACCTCATGAATCAGATCCTCCATCAGATGATGCCATATTTACCAAGAGATTGAGCAATCAATGAATTATCTGTCAAGGCAATTCGCTTCTTACTGATTTTGCCATAGCCACGCTTGTGTATTAGTTCATTCACTGACTTCAGGTTTGGGTGCCCCCATGCAATGTATGGCTCCACAATTCTCAGTATGTTAAGTGAAGCCTTGTTGAGCTTCACGGAGGTTCTGTTGAAGATATGGTGAAGGCGAAGAAGCTGCAACACCCAGCGGACCTTTGGGCTCACACCATTGATACCCCTGATCTGGATGTCAAATGCCAGTTTGGGCCCTGCGGGGACATAGAAGTTGCCAGATTTTCTTGCCATCCTAGCCATTTGGATCTCAGTTCTGTACATCTGTCTGTACTCCTTATGATGGTGCCTGGCTTTTTCATAGATGAGCTTCCTCTTTGCCTTGTGAAGTGTCTTCTGGGCAAACTTCTTTCTCAGGTGCTTTATCTTCAGCTCTGTGAAATGTCTAGCTTTTTCTTAAGGGTTTCTTCTCTTCTACACCCTCCAAGGTTCCAGCTGGAAAAGAGGAACAAACAGCCTTGTTCACATTTTTAATAGGCATTTGCACTTCCTGTGTGAAATGTCTGTTCATTTCTTCTGTTTTTTATTGACCATCTACCCGGCCCCATTGGGTATTTTTCTTTTTCTTTTTTTTTGGGGGGGGTATTTTTCTTGAGGGGTCAAATTCTGGGTTCTTTATACATTGTCTATATTAGTCCTCTGGCTGAGGAATAGCTGGGAATTTTTTTCCCATTCTGTAGATTTTCTTTGCACACTGTTTGTTGGTCCTTTTGCTAATTAGAGCTTTTAAATTCTATGTGATCCTATTTCTCTGTACTATTTCTGGTGCAACTGGGATTCTATTCAAAGTCCTTGCCAATGCCTGATTTCAAGTTTTACCTATTCTGTTTTCCAATAGACTAAGTGTTTCTGTTCTAACATGATTTTGATCAATTTTAAGTTTAGTTCATGGTAAGAAATATGGGCCTAAGTTTAATCTTTTGTGGATTGCCAGTTTTTCCAATACCATTTATTAAAGAGGTTATCTTTCCTCCAGTGTATGTTTTTTGGCCCTTCTGTCAAAGATCAACTAGTTGAACGTGCTTCAGGTTGTTTTTGCATCCTCTATTTCAGTGGTGGAGAACCTAAGTATGGCACACATGCTGTAGCAGGCATGCAGATGTCAGCATGTGAGCCAAATCGCCCTAGCAGCTGAGCATCATAATAGTTTTTTTCTAAACTAAAACCTCAGAATTCAGGTTTTAATTACAACGTTGGTACTTTGCAATAAATAAGTGGTTATGGATTGCAGTTTGGACACTCAAGTCTCTAAAACATTTGCCATCACTGCTTATTCTCTTGCACTGGTTATCATGTCTGTTTTTGTGCCAGTATCATGCAGTTTTAACCTCACTAGCTTTGTAACATAACCTCAAATCTGGCATTGTAAAGCACCCCATTTTGCTCTTTTTACACAAGATTGCTTTTGCTATTTTAGGTCACTTCTGGTTACATATGTATTTTAGGGTTGTTTTGCCTAGTTCTATGAAGAATGCTGTTGAAGTTTTGATTGGGAATGCATTAAATCTGTACAGTGGTACCTTGGTTCATGAATTTAATTATTACCATGAGTCTGTTTGCAAGCTCAATTGGACAAGAACCAAATCAAATTTTCCCATAAGGTCAACATTGAATCTAAGTAATGAATTCGATTGGGCTTTTGTCCAACTTGTGACCAGAACTGTGGAAAGTAAATTCAGGAACCAAGGTATCACTGTAGAACAATTTTGGAAGTATGGCTATTTTGACTGTATTGGCTCTGCTTATTCAGAGACAGCGGATATCTACTTCCTGATGTCCCCTTTGATTTCCTTTTTCAAAGTGCTGTAATTTTTACTGTAGGTCTCTTACTTTCTTAGGTTAATAACTCAGTATGTATTTTTTCTTAATTTATTTCTCAGTGGGTTTATTCTTAGTGCACAAGAACACTACTGATTTTTGTGTGTTGATTTTGTATCCCACTACATTGCTGAATCTTACTAACTTTGAGTCTTTTGGTAGATTTTTTTATATATCTCCTATCTAGAAGATCATGTAATTGGCAAATAATTATACTTCTTCCTGCCCTATACACAACCCTTTTTTTCCTCACCTAAATATGCTTGATAATGTTTCAGGCACTATGTTGTGTATTTGTCCATTTCCTGATTCAAAGAGAAAACTTTCAGTTTTTCTCCATTTAATATGTTGGCAGGTTCGACATAAATGGGTTTTATCAGATTGAGATAAAGTCCTTCTATACTTTTTTCTTCAGTGTTTTTATAATGAAAACCCTCCTCCCTTCCCCCTCCCCTCCCCCATCCTCCCCCCCTCCTCTTCCTCTTTTTTTGTGGTACCGGGGATTGAACTCAGGACCTTGCGCTTGCCAGGAAAATGCTTGTTCTACTGAACTATCTCCCCAGCCCTATAATGAAAGGAAACTGGATTTTGTCAAAGGCTTTTTATGCATCTATTGTGGATTTTTTATGTATTTGGTACAGGGTCTCACTGTGTAGCTCTGACCCACAGTGATCCTCCTGTTTTCAGCTTCCCCGGCACTGGGATTACAGGCATGTGCCACCATGCTCAGACTCTGTGGCCCACTCAATGAGCCCAGGGGATGGGCCAACATGGCATGGGGTACTAGGGATCAAACCCAGTTCCCTGTGCTGGCCTAAAAGGGCACTTAGTCTGCCGAGTTATCTCATTGGTCCTTTATGCATCTATTGAGATGGTCATGATTGTCCTTGCTTTTGTGATTGTCCTTGATTTGTGTATGTTGAACCATCCTTGTTTCCCTTGGATGCAGTCTACTTCATCATGATGCATGATCTTTGATGATTCACTGCACTCTACTTGCTGATATCTTGAGGTACTCTATCATTAAAGTATCTAATTTCTCTATCAATTTTGAAAGATAGCTTTGCAGGATATATCACCTGGGTTGGAAATTGTTTTCTTTTAGGATTTAAAACACTTCACTCTAAGCCCTCTTGGCATAAAAGGTTTGTGTTGAGAATTGTGTTGTTATTCTAATGAATTTTCCTTTTGAAGTAATTGTTTTTCTGTAACTACTTTTAGTATTCTGTTCTTGTGTTGGACTTTTAGATTTTGACTTTGAGTTATGGAAAACAGCTTTTCTTACTGTGGCTATTTGGGATTTTATATGCATTATCTGTATGTTAAATTATTTTCCCTTATGATGGAATGTTTTCTATTACTTCCGTAACAATAAACAGGTTTTTATACCATTTTGTATTGTCTTCTGATATTTTCACTAACTACAATTAACATTACAGCATCTACATGTTGGATCCATGTTTTTATGTTTACGTTTTTAAGGTAGCTCTCATTAACTGGTCACCAACAGCCCTGACTTCTAGGTTTTTTTTTTTTTTTTTTTCCTGCTTTCTAGTTTTGACACTTTGTCCTCAATTTTTGACACTTTGTCCTTTGTTTCTATTTGGAGTCCTTTTGTGGACTCTTCTTTTTCATGCTGGTCATATATATTTTGCACATTTAGCTCTTCTAGCTTTCTATTAGTGTGTTGTAGTTAGGGTTTGGAAGGGAATATATTTAATGCAGTACACATAATTTATAGGATTATATCTACCCAAAAGGTCAAATGCAGAAGAGTGTAAGAGATATGTCCATGCACCAGAGACCTGAAGAGTCCAGGTGAAGGCCTGGATCCTACAGCAACATCCTGCATGAATCCAACTGAAGACCTAGAGCCCATAGCAGTGGCCTCTGAGTCCAGCTGCAAGTCTAGAGACCACAACACTGTCTCGTGCAAGTCTGTCTGAAGGGTCTGCACTGGGAAGACCAAAGGTCAGTGGTGGAAGCTAGAAAGTCTGCACCACTGGGATGAAGGCTCTTTGCCAGCAGGCTGAGGAATCAGCACTGGGGTCAGGAAGTGATGCTCAAGGTAAAGATCAGAGTTCCATGAAGAGAAACACAGCCATCTTCAGTGACAATGAAGACCTGAGCTCTTCCAACAATAACAGTTGAATTCATATCAGGAAAGCCAGCACAAGCTTCTCCAAGAGATTAAAATAGTGCACCAAACTTTGAAAAATTACCCAGTGAGATATGAGGAAGAAAAAGCCAAGCAGGCATACCATTTGAAGAATAAAAGAAAATTAATAATGATAGCAGTTGCAGGAAAGAATGAACAAGAAAAAGAAAAAAGTAGTGCAAAAACAAAGTAAAAGAGAAAAAAATTGAAGGGAGATAAAAGGAGAGAAAAAAATAAGAGAGAAAAAGGGTGGCAACCACTCAACAAAAACCTGAAGGAAAAATAAAATATGAAATAGAAACAACAAAAAAGATTGTGAAAGAAAATTGCTACTGAATGAGTTTCTTCCCAAGATCTGCAGCCTTGGGATCCACAGTGTTTTCTATGCCTAGATTTATGGTCTATGGGTTTTTGAGGTTCTTCTCTACACCAGAGCTCCCGTTTGTTCCTCCACTCCCTCCACCCTGAAAGACTGTGCTTACCATCTAAGCCAAGGCACGTCCTTGCCCCAGTTGGTAGATGTGGAATGTGATCAGTCTTCTGGTCTCTACTACCCATAGGGAAGTAGTCCCATAGGGAAGCACAGCATAGAGCTGGCTTGGAGCTAATGGGTGGTCATGCCCTTACATAAGGGGAATTGCGTGTACAGTGCAGTTCTCCCACTTTTCAGTTGTTCATGTGCTAACAACTGTCTATTCATTTCACATGGGCTTGGTCATTGCTATGGCTGCCACTCAGTAAAAACTTGCATCCCAGCACAGTGTTCTGGCCTTGCAACTGGAGATCACAGGCGATAGCTGTGAAGGAAGACTCCATACAACATGGAAGGATGGTACAGGTCTCTGACAGCTTCCTGACTTTGATACCTGTTGCATATGCTGCTGTAATTCTCTCAGAAATAATGTAAATTCAACACACCTTAGGCTTCTCTGATGGCCTGTAGCTTGCAATAGGACAGTCCCAGCATACTGACAATAGCATTTTCCAAACATTCCTGACACCAAAAATAATAGAACTGCCCAGGTTAGCAATGGTGAACACTTCAGAGTTTTCGATAACAGTGTCGTGTCATGCATGCTGTAGGTTTGATACCACTGTCCCAGGTCTTCAGAGAAATGCCTATTTAAGAGACCTCCAGCAGTTGGGAAACTAAGGGCAACAAACACAAATAGATTGGAAAATATAATGGTTGATACACTGTTTCAACTTGAGACTTTAGAAGCTTAACTCAGCAGGGGGCCAGGGTCCTCACAAATATCTTCAACTTGTAGAAAAGGAGGGCAGAGATAGCACCCCAGCATACAATATAAAGGGAGGAGGCTTGCTTTCTCCCACCCCTTTTGCATTTGTTGCTTTTGCTGTCTTGAATTGTCCCTATGCCATCCCATCTTGCCTTGTAGCCAAGTGACTATGGACTAAAACCTCTCACAAATTGTGAGCTAAATAAACCTTTTCTTCCTTAATTCTGGGTGTTGGGTATTTTGTCTTAGCAACAAGAGAAAAGTAACCAAAACATAATCTGGTACCAGGAGTGGGGCTGTTGCTGTAACTGTACTTGACCATGTGCTAAGAGTATTTGGGAATGGCTTATGGGATATCTTCATTTTCTATAAGAGAAATCACAGTGACCACAAAATCAACAAGAACTCAGATGAAGATACTTGGAAATCATATGGTTATACAGTGCAATACTTTCTATTCAGGGAGACAACCTTTCTGTGGTAGCCTGGCACCACAGGGGTGCCCAAACCAGGGACTGGACAACCTTAAGCTTGAGTCATTCTCCTCCCAAAAAGGTCACCTAAAGCAGCAAAAATGATTCAAAAAATCTTGATGCTCTAGTGACCATTATCACTATGGTTATACACATTTGAAAAGTGCCACGGCCATGTATTTATTTTGAAAATGTGACTCTGACATGTTTCAGGTAAGAACTTGAAGGCTTTGTTATATATAACCAGTACATATAATTTGCATATATAAGATTGAATTTTTATTCAACTTCCTTCATACAATGTCTCTATTTTAAATGGCAGGTAAGTGTTAGATGCTTTTTATAGAATGACTACATTCCCCTCCTGTTCACAGGCAGCCTGGGGGGTGAAAAGTGGCTCCCCATTAAGAAGTGAATGCATTAAACCTTGGTGAACAGAAAGACTATGACCCAGTGTCAATAGTCTGGCTGTGGGTAGGCCATACCAAGTGCCAACTTTTCCAGTGTCTCCTAGTGCTAACTGCCTTGCCTGCACACAACATAGCTGGTGAGAAACAGCACCAGTGTGACCCCGCAGGACTGGGAAGAAAGCCCTGGTATGAAAGACATTAGCCACTGCTTATTGCTTCTACAATGCAAGATTCTTATACTGGGTTCACTTTTGTTTTAAAAACACTGATTTTTCTAGTGATATTTAATTTTATATTTATTTTATTTTTTTGGTGGAACCTGAGATTGAACTCTGGCCCTTGCGCTCACCAGGGAAGCACTTATTCTACTGAGCCATCTCCCCAGCCTCTATATTTAACTTTAAAAAGGCATTCTAGGTCTTTAACCCTCAAAGAACTGGTATTTTTTGGGCAATTAACCAAAAAAAATTCATCAGAAATATGTATTTATGCCCAAAGTTGCCAGAAGGTTAAACACAGGAAATGCCTGTAAGTTGTGTTATATAAGGCACCCTATTCCACTTTTTTCTTAAAGGAAACTTTTTCTTTGGTTTCTTGCAACTTTTCTGTGAGTCTGTCCTTGGTTTCTTCCATCTTCTCTGTGATGAGCTCCTTGGTCTCTTCCATCCTGTCCTGCAGATACTCCTTGACTGGTGGTGGGGTTGACATGTAGCCACGACCACGCAGATACTTCACCATGAAAGATGTTCCTCCCAAGGTCACCGTGTATCGAGCAGGTGTTGCAATCTTTAAAGAAAGCAAGCAGGCAGATCAACAAGTGATTATGACTAAAATTAAGTTGGGAGTTTAGTACTGAGCAACAACCAGTCAGTGTAAATGCTGCACTGTGCACCTTCTGGGAATGTCTGTCCCCACATGACCTGGCCCAGCTGTGTCCTTGACCACATGGGACCAGGCCTCAGGACAGGATGACCAGCATTTGCTGCCCCACCAGCCCCAGGGCCTCCTTCTCCCTCTTCACCTCTGACAAACCCTGAACAGGCTTTGACAGAGGAAGCAGGACATCATTGAGCCTGCTGTCCTTGTTAGAACATCGGTTCCTGGAAACACACAGGACAGCCCACATGTCTCTAGATGGACACCAGTATGCAAGCCTGCCTCCAGGCATGGTCTCACACTCACCCCAGGCCCAGTGCAAACACATGGGAGGAGGGCAGGATTCTGAGTTTCTAGAGGTTATACATACCCAAAGAAAGAAACTCAGGTCTCCAGAGCTGGTTTTAAGGCCTGAGCTTGACAAGAGGCAGGCTGTGGGCCACAGGAGGGTGGGGACAGGGGTGGGGCAGCCAGAGTATCACAGTTCAAGCATGCTCACCATAACCTGGAACTTGATGATTAATTTAATACATTTTAATGTAGAATCACTCAGCACTTATGCTGAAGCCATTTAGACAAAATTACAGCCAAAGAGAGACTATCCCAGCATTCCAGAGGATTTTAATAAGAATAGAATAAAACAATGCCACTTTTGAATAACACTATGAACTGTAATTCTAGGAATTTTTATTTTATTTATTTTTAATGTACTTTAGTACAGGGTCTACAGGGTCTCACTAAGTAGATCAGACTCATAGTGATTCTCCTGTTCCCAGCCTCCCAAGCACTGGGATTATAGGCGTGTGCCACCACTCCCAGTCTCAACTGCAGTCTCAGCATACCCTGGGGATGGGGCTGGCACAGCAGGCCGAGGACTGAACCCCGGCTGCTGAGCTCTGCCTAAGCAGGCATTTTAGTCTGCTGAGCTATCTGGCCAGTCCAATTCTAGGAATTTTTAAACAACAGAAGTAAAATAAAATAACCTCTAGGTTTCAAGCATTTTCTACTTGTTTTCATTTTTTTTTTCTTTTCTTTTTTCTGTATTTTAGGGAAGGGTCTACAGGGTGTTCAGGGTCTCACTACTAGATAGGACTTGTAGTGATTCTCCTGTTTTTATAGCCTTCCAAGTGCTGGGATTATAGGTGCTTGCCACCATGCCCAGTCTCATTTGCCATGGGGATGGGGCCCGTACAGCAGGCCAGGTCCTGGCCCCTGTGCCTGCTTGCAGGCACTTTAATCTGCTGAGCTATTTGGCCGGCCCTTGTACTTGTTTTCTCTTTCTTAAATAAAAGCATCATAGACTCTCATAAGATTTTTGTCTATTGTAAAGAATGGCATTAACATGGGTAAAGTCCATAGTTTATAATGAGTCTTCCCTTCTAAAATAGTCACAGGTGTAGAAACTTTATTTATAATGTCTGAATCCAGAAGATGGTCACACTACGAATGTCTAAAAGTATAGCTAACAACTAAGTCCAACAATTTGTATTTTATTAAGCCTTATTACTGGGCCAGCGAGATAGCTCAGCTAACTAAGCACCTGCTTAAGCAAGTGCAGGGACCGGAGTTGACCCCTGACATGACATGCTGCTCCAGCTCTGCTCCCAGGTGTGCTGAGCCAGCCACTGAGTCCGGGAATAGTGGCGGACGCCTTGTAATCCCAGTGCTGGGGAGGCTGAAAACACTGAGTCTGAGCTGCGTAGCGAGACCCAGTACCAAATACATTAAAATTAAAAACAAAAAAAGAAAGAAAAAGTAAACTGACAAATCTTTGTAAAGTAAATGACTATTTAAACTTTATTACTTTACTTGCTAAGATAAACTACGAGAAATAGTAAATAACCATTAAATGTCACTAAGAAGTTGGGTGATATGAAGATCTGATTAAACGAAATAAAACATTAACGGGAACATCAAGAACGCAATTATCACCTTGGCCACACAAACCCAGTGCACTGTGGCGGCAGATCAAGCACTGGCTATACATAAGGCACCTCTCTCTCTCTTTTTTTTTTTTTAATGTATTTTTAGTATAGGGTCTACAGGATCTACAGGGTCTTACTACACAGATCGGACTCATAGTGAGTCTCCTGTTCTCAGAACTTTAGTGGCACTCTCAGGCACACGCCACCATGCCCAGTCTCAATTGCTGTCTCAGTGTGCCCCTGGGGCAGGGCCAGCATGGCAGGCCAGGGATTGAACCCTAGCCTCTGCTCTCTGCGTAAGCAGGCACTTTAGTCTGCTAAACTATCTGGCTGGCGCCTAGGCATCTCCTCTTGAAGTCTCACTGTATTCACATTTTACAATGTTATGTGAAAGATGACATACAATATTTTAAGTTTAAAAACAAGCATTATGAACTCACAAAAGTTCTTTGGGGAGTAAGCTGGTGGCACCCACCTTGAACATTGCATAGGCTGTCAGGGCATTTCCACTCTGGGAGTTTTTCAGGATGTTCACAACACTATCAGGTAACCCAATGAGCTCTAGAAAAGGAATGACATTCACTCCTCTAGGAAAGAAACAAAAGTAAGTTTCAAGTAAATAAGATTTTAAGGACAAATATCTATGAGATTATTACTACATTTTGTGCTAGCTATAGTTTATAGGCTGATTCTGCTTTATTGCACTTTAATTTTACTCTAAGAATCTTACTTGAAAAATAGTATACCCAGAGGCATCAATGTTAAGTTGTATCTTACCATATGCATGAAATATTAATGTACCTAAAAGTAAGGCTGAGGCAGAAGGATCAGAAGTTCAAGGACAGCCTGAGAAACTTAGTGAGACAGTCTGTTTCAAAATTAAAATAAAATAAAAAAAAAGCTGGCACAGCTGTGCAGGCTGTGGGTTTAATTGCCAGCACTCAGGGTTGGGGGATGGTGAGCAGAAGCACTACAGCATTAATAACCTTAAACTAAGAGAACAAAGTCAGAATAATTCACCTGACCTTTGTTTCCTCACCCAATACCACTTCCTTAAAATGTTCCAACTCACATTTCAAAACTTCAGATTTTTATTCTTGCTTTTAAAATTCACGACAGGGTAGACCATTATTGTAAAGCAGGGATATTTAAGTACAGTAAGTCCTTAACTTACAAATGAGTTTCTGGGAGAGCATTTGTTGAGTTTGTACGTCCAACAAAATAAGTCTTATATACCTCTGATACCAATATGCAATGTACACTGCTTTGTACTTCCAAGCATCCCCTCCATACTGCCACTGTGCTTTCTCTTGCTTCCAGACATTCTGGGCTCTGAGCACTGCACTCCTGTACCATACTGAATTTTACAGCAGCACAACTGTGATATCTGGCAGACACGTGAGCTACTTCTATGATTTGCTTGCATCTGTGAATGTTCTTAGTATGAGATCTGTTCAGCTGTGAAAGTTTACAACTCAAATGTCCATTTGTAGGTTACTTAACTGTACCACTGATTGTGTGCTTACTGTGTAAGAATAAGTGACTGTGGAGTTAGAAAAACTTCAATTATTGTAAAAGGCCATTTCTATTGGTATACTTAGGCATACAAAGAACAATTAGGATAAACTGCAACAAATTCTCAGACATGGGAGGGCTGGCAGAAGCCTATTCAGCTTTCTGCTTGACAACACTGTGCTACCCCCACACCGTGGGAGTTTATATCCTTGCTCACCATGGGTTGTAAAGCCCATGACACTGCCACACCTAAATCTGAACAAAGACATCACCTTCACAGTATAATTGGCACATTAGGAAACTTTACACAGTAATACATGGTTAATACAAAAGCAAGTTATTTAATATGAAATTTACATTAAAACTTCCTGTTACTTTTCCCCTCTGCCTTCTCCCTAGAAGCAATTCCCTGCTGCCTCTGGGGCTGAGGCATCTCCAGATGTGGAGCCACCAAGGCATCTAGGCAGCATCCTGAGGCATCTGGTGGGCTTGACTGGTGGCTTCATCATGACCGACTCCATGAATGTTTTCCCACACGGTGGTGATGCCTGAGTCTGTGTCCCAGCACAGCTCAAAACTTCATAGTGGGAGCACATCCCTCTAACCCCATCCCTGGTGTTCTTGAGTGTCCCTTGGCCATGGGAGGACCCCGATGGCTCGACTGTGACTGGGTCTATCCCTTGTCATTCAGAAAGGAAACTGGACAGATCCATTATCATGGCAGATTTAAACTTTTAATGTATTTTTATTATTAAAAAATAACTTAATCAACTGGGGAAAAGGAGTCCCAGATTTCAACAAAATAATTAGCAGTCAGAGATATTGCTAATTAACAAAGAAAGAGATGATGGAGCATTAAAGTTACCTATCATAGAAAGCGAGAGGACAACATAACCATATGGGGAATTTTTAAAGAGATAAATTTGAAAAAAAAAATCAGTTATAAGCCAAATCTGGTTTTGTTGATCAGTATTTTCAATCTTTGCTCTTTAGAAGTAACAGAATTCCACTATGACTTAGTTACTAGTCAGCCTTTCCATGATCTCATCATGCCACTGATGACTCTATACAGCAGAATTCTTCCTTAACACATCAATTTCATTTTCTAGGACACTAGTGATCCAGCCTTAACCTACAGAGTGCTGCAATGACAGGAGGGTGAGGCATTTATATACAGTGGAATACTACTCTGCCATGAATCATTTCCTAGTTCCAACTTAGCCCACTGTATGAAATCTATTCATTTAACAGCATCAAGAAAAATATATTTTTTTGTTTTCGTTATTTATTTTTTTTTCATGTTTTGTTTCTTTTTTTCCCATAATTTTATTGAGAAACAAATAGCAATGAGACAGTTTCAAACCAAACTGGTAGGACAGTTTCAATAACCAGCACATTGCATACATTCTTCCTAGTGGTTAATTGCTGTACAAGATGCGGACATGATATCCTATTTACAAACACTATTAGAACAAATCCCTCTATTCATTAAGAAAATGTAACTATATATCTATTCTATCCATTTTGAATACACAGATACAAAATGGACATTCATCTGTATCTCCTTTTTTTGTTAAGTTCCGTTATTTGAATTATTATAGGTGTGTTAACTCAGCAAAATATTCTAAAGAAAAATATTTAGGAACAAACTAAGGGAGTAGAAGACCTCTACAATAAAAATTATAGTACCCTGAAGAAGGAGATCAAAAAGGATATTAGAAAATTGTAAGATATCCTCTGTTCCAGGATAGGCAAAAACAGTATAGTTAAAATTATCATATTTCCCAAACTGTTATACAGGTTTAATGCAATCCCCATCAAAATGCCAGTAGCATTCCTCATAGAACTAGAGAGAGAACAGTTCTAAAATTTATATGTAACTAGAAGGGACCTAAAATAGTAAACGCTGTTCTTCAGCAATAAAGCTACAGTGATAAAAACAGGATGGTATTGGCACTGTGAGAAATCCAAGGTATAAATAAGGAGTGGAATAGGGGAGAGATGTTAGGAATAGCAACACAGGAAGAACAAGCTTGTGGTTAGTGAAAATAAAAGACTTCTTAAAAATAGCAAAGGATTACAGAAAAATCCAAAAGCTGCTAGATACAAGGAATAACAATGTTGTTCAGAGTCAATGAAAATGCAAGAGACAGTGCAAATGGCATGAGACCTGTTCTGAGAAATAAAATTAAAACTGGACACATATCTTTCACCATGCAATAAACTAAAATCTGAATGCATCAAAGATCCATATGTTAGAAGAGAAACATTACATCTCTTGGATGATATAATAGGTAGAACTCTTGCAGATATAGGTGTTGGCAAAGACTTTATGAACAAAACTCCAATTGCACAGGAACTACCACAAAGAATCAACAACTGGGATATCATGTTTTTTTTTTTTTTTTTTCAGAACCGGGGATTGAACTCAGGCCCTTGTGCTTGCCAGGGAAGCGCTTATTCCACTGAGCCATCTCCCCAGCCCCTGGGATCTCATTTTAAAAACTTTTTTTTTTTTTTAAATGTATTTAGTACAGGGTCTCACTACACACAGACTCCCCGTGATTCTCCTGTTTTTCAGCCTCCCAAGTGCTGGGATTACAGGTGGACGCTACCATGACCAGTCTTAAAAATTCAGACCTCCTCCAAACTGAAAGAGCCAATCCAAGAATGAACAACTGAAGAGGTACTTCTCATCTGAAGTACAAAGGCAAATATATGAAAAAACGTTCAAAATCACTGGTTATTTGAGAAATGCAAATTAAAACAACGCTGAGCTTTCATCTCACCACAGAAAAAATCGTTATTATCAAAAAAATCAAACAGTAAATAATGCTGGCTGGGTTGTTGGGAAAAAGGAACCTTTTTCCACATTTATTTCTAGTGAATGCACCTTAAGATCACACTCTTAAGTGAAATATCTCAGACACATCTGTGTAAATATGACATTGTTTCTCTGAAAGCATAAATAAGGACTAAAATGTACAACAGATATTGTGAAACAGGAAGAAAATGTTCAAGTAGGGCTGGGAACCCGGGAGAGGTGAGAGGAAAAGGGAAAACAAAAAAAGAGAAAAGAAGGAAAAAATGGAAACAAAGCTTTTGTAAATAAGAGGGAGGAGTTGAAGAGAGGACAAGGAAATGAGAAAAAAAAGAATCAAGTTATGTCATATATAGGTACAAATTTCCTATGATGAATTTGATCATTATATATACCTAAAATCTACCAATAAACTTAATTTAAAAAAAACTAAGGCCCAATATGGCTTGGGCAGAGCATTGGTACCTCTGCTCCTAAACCAGTTGGCATGCATTACCTTTTTTTTTTTTTTTTGTGGTGTCGGGGATTGAACTTGGGATGCTGTCCTTGCCAGGCAGGTGCTTACGCTATTGAGCTACCTACCTGGCACAATAGGCATGCCTTACTTACCTGGAAGGAAGGAATCATACTTAAAAACGATGCATTTAGACTCTTTATGTTGCACAGCACCGGGGATCAGGTCGCCAAACAGTTTCAAAGGCCTGACCTTGAAATCATGCAGTGAGCAGTATCAAAGCACAAGTGTGCGACCTGTTCATTTGTGTTTTCCCAATAGCAGTCAGGCTCTGTCAAAAGGTATTTTATGAATTTCCCACCCTAATCAATCATACAGAAAAACAGCTATTTGCTCACATATATAACTCTTAAGAAATGTCTAAGCACAAAGTTTGTGGTGCTGGAGAGTTTCTAAGGTCAGCACTTCATCTCTGGGGACCTTGTACCTGTGGACAAGCTAACAGGGTTTTCAGCCCAGTCCTCAGCTCCCACTCCCAGGTTCTTCCCACTTCCTCTGGCCTAGACTATCTCCTCACTCATCAAGTGGGAAACACTACACTACATGCTTCATATGCTCGTTGAGTGCCAAGTAAGGCGATACACAGGTTAGCACAGTTCCCTTTCACAATGTGTTAGCTGTTCATCTTAATACATGAAAAATAACTTCAGAGAGTAGTTGCCCTCCATCAAAGACAAGACACAAAAACAGTATACAAAACTTAAGGCTTTCCATCAGCAGAACAATGGAGATTAACACTGGGAAACAAAGGTGGTCAAAGAAGCAAAAACTTACTTTATGGCTGCATAATAAAAAGTTCCAAACCAAACACCAGAAGTTACTAGATGTACAGGAATCAAAACCTTCCCATATTGTCGAAATGTCTTCTTAAATCGCTGATAAAGACTAATCGATTTGTCTTGTAAAGGATCAGGCTCTTCCTTTTTTTCTGAAGGTGTTCCCTGAGTGGTGCTGGATGATAAGCCCCTGGTAGATGAAACATCCCACACCCACTGTTTGTAGTAAAGGATCCTGGACTTTAAAGGCTGTGTGGCTGATGACTTTTTTCGTTCGTCTGCTGGGTACTGGGCTACAGGTAAGTGCAGCAACCGCTCTTGAGGGCTTTGTGCCCAAACCGCTTTGGACTTGGCATAGTGCAAAAACAATGATCGCTTCATGTGCTGACAGTGTCCAAACAGCCCAGGTGTCTGTGACTCCAGGCATATCCTGTGTGTCAGCCAAGACGCAGTCTGTAGTATGTGCCACTGCATTTTGAAGGATGGAGATGGTTGCAGCTTCTATAGAAACTAGATTTGGAAAAGAAAAAGTATGTTAACATAGATTAGCATTTTAAGCCAATACACTTAAATATTAATCATTAACTACTAGGATGTAAAAAGATAATGTTACCTAGTATACAGGAAACTGTAATGGTACAGTTTCCAGGTACTGTAACTGAAATTTCATTAACATGTGTCCTGTCTCAGTTACTCTCCTCTTGTTGCTGGGACAAATACCCAACACCCAAGATAAAGAAAGGAAACGTTTATTTAGCTCACAGTTAACAGAGGTTTCAGTAGATATTCAGCTGGCTCCAAGGCAGAGCAGCATATAGCAGAGAGCAACCTTTCCGGAGAGGAGCAGTGGCAACAATGGCAACAGAGAGCAAGTCTGTGTCTCTGTCTCTCTTTCGTTACATTCAGGCTATCCTCCTCAGGTTGGGTGTAGCCCTCACACCCATAATCCCAGCAGTACTCAGACCCATAATCTCAGCCTTGCTTGGATCACCCATAATCCCAGTGATCATGAGTTAATCACAAACTCCAGAAGTCTACCCCATGATGGCATGCGGCTTTGGGGGGGGGGGGACACCTAGAGACAAACTATAACATGACCTTTGAATATTTCGTAGTAAACTGTCCTGCAGACATTATGAATTATGAGCCTGTAAACTGGGGTTTATAGGCTCACTTGGAAGCAGGCAGCACAAGACCTAAGGCTGGGTGTTCTGGCCACATAATCCCATGTGACTCCCTTTCAGACTCTAGGTCTACTGTACAGAGATGACTTCATTCCAGGGCTGTCATAGGAATCACATGAAAATGTGATATACTAGAACTCCTGCAAATCAATAAAACCACACAAATCCAGGTGTGATGGGTAGTTACCTCAGCACCACCTAGGCTAGGATACCCTGACAGTAAGTGACATGAAGCTGTAAATCACACTTTACTGGAGGCTGAGATGAGACAGCCTGGGGTTTATCCCCCCCCCACACTTTATATCATGGGTGAAGGAAAAAAAAACCCATATACTAATGTCTTATTTGATTTGACATCCCCACGGAATTAAGAATTATAAGATACATTAAGAACTTTATATATACCACAACAATTTTTCCCTAGGAAGGCAATAAGATGTAATGGTGAAAGACCATGGCCTTTGGAATAAGACATGCCCAACAGAGCTTACAGCTTTATGCTGTGAAAGTAGAAACACTTAGCTTCCCTGGACTCAGCCTCTGTATGGCAGATTCCTAGAAGCACCTCATCTGCAGCCTTCAAGCTGTGTCCTTCCAGCCACCTCACTACAGTACTTCTAACACTTTGAAAATAGATGATCTTGTTTTCAAATTGATAGTAAGAGTCAAATTTTGCTTAGTCTCTGGTGGGATTTACTCCAAAAATCTTCTCCAGCAACACTGTCTCCAGACAGTCCTGGACCTGACTTTAGCACTGTAGTGGGAAAAATTTACAACTATACCTTCACAATTGGGCCATCAGACTCAATCAGCTTTAACTACACGGATGCAGCTCAGAGATAAAAGACTTGGGCCCTAACCGAGCAACTGCACAGTGGCTGACACAAATATTCAGTCTTCCTAGCTTATTTCAAAGACTATCCACGGGGCACACTAACTTTGTCAAGGTCACCTCAAATCTTCCTTGCTTGCCTGGGACCCTGACTTGCCTCACAAATGACCACCTCCAATTAAAACCTGCCTCAGACACATTTGCGTTAATGTATATAACCAATTATAAACTAACCCTTTATCGACTTTATCTTCCTGCTTACAAAAATGTATATGTTACTGTTTTAGTTTAGACCAGTGCTGATGATTTGGACCCAGGTCCCATTAGCCCATTGGCGTTAATAAAAGTTGCCTTCCAAACTCCTGGTGCAAAGCAGTTTCCATCCAGTTTGCTATAGTTTCTGCACAGCACAAGTATTTTATGAATCTATAATGTTTTTATTTTTCCTCTTATGCCCTTTCTTTTCCCTCCCCCCACTTTTTTTGTGTGGTACCAGGGATTGGTACCACAAAGAATGTGTTGGGGTCATGTGTTAAAATAAGAGGAATTTGATATAGGGATGTAGTATTTGCCTGGTAGCTGTCAGATGTCACATTAAGGAAAAAAATGTTGGTATGACACACCTTATTGGTATTTGACCTTTTCATTCAGAATATGGAAGATACAATATAAATAACTTTTCATGGAGGTAATGCAGCCATGATGAGTCTGACCCCAACATAAAGTGACAGCCCAGGTTGCCTAAGCAGGTGCTTAGTCCATGGAGCTAAAAAGGCTTATTATTAATACCAAAGCATGCCCTGTACTCGAGAAATTTCAGGAATTTAAGAGTTCATTAACAACACACTTGGGACCTTGTGCTTGCTAGACAAGCACTCATGCTGTTGAGCTACATCTCCAGCCCAAGCCTTTGTCTTTTACAAGACTGTATTCTAGGTGTGGAAGTTCCAGGAGTCTCTCAGGTACCTAGATTATCAGGTTTTTGTGTGTCTGAATAAAATAAAGGAAAAGGGTCTTTTGTTTTATTATTACTGTTTTTCTTTGGGTGGGTACATATTTGTAGCACATAATGATTACATTTATTGGGGGACAGTTTTTACAACAAACCTTTTGAGCTAAGATTCATTAATTCTTCTCATCTTTTAAAGACATGCATAAGCCTTCTTACCTCTTTATCTGAAGCTAAAGGCTTTGTTGGAACTGCAACTGTAGACAGATAATTTCACACTGAATAGGTGTTTCCTCAAGGTCTGCAAAGTTCTGAATGATTTGGGAAAAAGAAATTCACCAGCCTGTCTACCCCACTGGACCACCTATACCTTATGAAAAGGCTGGTGAAGCAACAAGTTTGCTTCCCCTCTACAGCAGTTTGTAGGGAGGCTGGGGGATGATGGTCCCCCCTCAAATGGTCCTTCTATGGATTCTCCACCGGGTGTCCCCAGCTCTGATGTTATCTACCTGGATACAAAGTCAGACCCCACCCACCCCAGCCTACAGAACTCAGGCAACATGTGTGCTAGTTTATTAAGAACATTACAGAGATTGCAGAAGTCTGAACAGATTTTTTTTTTTTGGGGGGGTAAAGAAAGATAATGTAGATCTTTACACTTGCTGTATCATTTTTAGACATCATCTTCAGCTCATTTTCCTTTCTTATGGAAACAAACCAGGCTCCTGGCCTCTTACAGTTGGCACTTGCATCTCCTGTGCTCTCTTCTGGGCTAAAGAAAAGGGAGTGGGTATATGTTGGTATATGCTCAGCAAAAAAAGTTTAGGAGTTCTATTTTACAACAGCAGTTATAGCCCTATTTTGAGGCTTCAGGGAGCCTCATTTTAAGTAACTGCATCAGCATAACTGCAGGAGTTATCAAAAAAGGCTTATTATTATTATCATTACTTTTTTTTTTGTGCGCAGGGTCTCACTACACAGCTCAGACTGGTAGTGATCCTCCTGTTTTCAGCCTTCCCAGCGCTGGGATTATAAGAGTGCACCAACACGCCTGGACTCAGTTGTCCCCTCAGTGCACCTGGAGGTGGGGCCAGTGGCATGTGGTGCTGGAGATCAAACTTCTGCCCCTGCACTTGCCTAAGCAGGTGCTTACTCTGTTGAGCTAAAAGAGGCTTATTATTAATACCAAAGCCTGTCTTGTACTCGAGAAATTTCAGGAATTTTAAGAGTTCATTAACAGAAACCAGGGATAGGACAAAAATATACTTCCTATTCTACCTAAAGAGTTAAGTGTTGGGAAACTAAGACAGTGTGTGTGTGTGTGTGTGTGTGTGTGTGTTAGGGGTTCTGGCTATATTTGTGTTACTGATTTCCAGTTTGAGAACAGTTTGCTATTTTATTTTATTTACTTTTTTTTTGGCCAGCTCAGTCCACTCTGAGGGTGGGTCTGATACATAGCATGTGGTGCTGCGTATTGAACTGTGGTCCCCTGTGCCTGCCTAAGCTTGCCTAAGCAGGTGCTTTAGACTATTGAGCTATCTCCCCAGCCCCCATTACAGTTTGTATAATTTCTATTCTTTTAAATTTGCTAAGGTTTCTTTTATGGTCCAGAATGTGCCTTGTTTTCTTGTTGTAGGCAGTTGAGGCAGTCAGAGCTGGGCCCTCCGAAGGAGCCAGTATGGAAAACAAGATACCTGGAAACTATCAGAGAGACAGACACTCCCAGAGTGGGCCAGACCTCAAGATAAAAGATCAAACAAATGCATACCTCCCTAAGGATAAACGCAGAATAGAGTGCTATTCTAAATAGGTCTGTATCCCCTTGAAAAAGCCAGGAAGAGTCACTAACCCAACCCCCTACAGGAAAAGCCTTTTTTTTTTTTTTGCGGTAAAGTGGATCAAACTTGGGAACTTATGATTGCCAGGCAGGCGCTTATGCCAGTGAGCTATCTCCCCAGCCCAAAAAGCCTGTTTTGTATTCATGCTTGCTTGCTACAAGACTTGCTTCCCCATGTGATCCCAATTTAATCAATTTCACCTGAGCAATTGTACCTGTAATCTTATTGGTTGGTCATAGTTTTGTTCCATCTCATGTCCACCCAGCTAGTTCCCACATTTCCCAAAACCTTAAGCCCACTTCATCTTGTGGTTTTGCTGTATAAAAATCTCTAGAAAAGACAAGCTCCTTGGCAACCCATTTGGGTCCCCTTCTGTCTGTCCCTCAGACAGAAGCTTTCCTTCCGACAACAAATATACCTGCTCTTAACCTCCACTGTTCCTAAAATTCATTCTTTGGTTTTAGAGAACACAAACTCATCCCAGGTATCTTTCAGATGGGGAGTTTCATTCCCCTAATCATTGTTGAATACTACAAGTAAACTTTTATAAATGACAATTAGATCAAGTTGATCACAATGTTTAGTTTGATTATCTCCTTATTAACTGACCAGGGTTGAAAGTTCTGATAATTTGTCTTTTTCCTTTTGTTCTGTCAGTTTTCACATCATCTGTTTTATCTATCTATCTATCTATCTATCTATCTATC